CAAGTAGATAGATAGACGGACAGACAGACAGATAGGCAGGCAGATAGATAGGCAGGCAGACAGACAGACAGAAAGACTGACAGATGACAGACAGATATACATATGGTGTTCATTCTGATATATTGATGTGTGTGTAAATTATAGCATTGGTAATTAAAGCTTACTCATATGTGCTTAAATTTGCATTATATTATAATTAAAAACAGATAAATCTTTGTTCAACAATTTCAAGTATACAATGTATTATCATTGTAATTAATGTCATTATGATGAAAAAAAGGACAGATGCACATAAAAGGGTTTTCCTATAAATTATTCCCTCTTACATCTCATTCTTTCACTTTGCAGACTTTTTTTCTGGTATCTTTTATCACACAAGATGAATAAACTCTCTTCATTATATTATTATTGTCAATTAAAATCATATTAAAAAGATAACATGGTCATAGATCTAAAATCAATACCAATAAAGAAAAAGACATATAAACGAAACAAAGGGAGAAAAAGAGACAGAACTAAAGAAAAACATGAAAAGGGGAAAAAGAAAAGAAAGAAGAAAGAAGAGAGAAATGAAAGAAGATAAAGAAGAGCAATATGGGAACCTAAACATGATTACTTTTCAACTACATCAAATCTGTAAATTAATGGAAGTAAGTTTACAGACCTATAGAAAACAACAACAACAACTTCTAAAGTAAACTACTACAGAAGGACATTCGACAAGACTACTACCATCAATAGGACCTTTTCACAATTTATACTAATCTCTACTCCTCTCCATGGCTGCCTGAGACTTCATGAGGGTCTCCAGTCCAAACTACCACCTCTGTCTCTCAAATGGATTCAATATACAAACAAGAAAGCTCTGAGGCCATGATCAAGTTTGTGATACCTTCAGAACCCTTTAATAGCTTTTTGGCAAGATGAAGACTAGTATTTAAAGAAAGTATTAATGCTAAATACGGAAATTCATAGCCTACAAAATGCCTCCTGATGAGAAAATTTAAAGAGTATTTCACATGTCCAATCACATTCCTATGTTACTTTGTCAAAAGATTCACTCTTCACTATAGTTGTTGTACAATAATTTAGTATTTGAATCAGATATGACTTTGAGGAAGAATTAAATTTAAAAGGCAACAGAGCTCTACCTAGAGGGTAGGATGTTCCAGAAACATATGCTTAATCAGGAGAGCCTTTAAGGTCCCTAAAACCATATTATTCCTCAAGCTATGGATAAGTTTTTAGTACTGGAATCATTATGGAGAAGACTAACATGAGCATGATGTCTTGTTTAAGCGGTAGAATGTCAGGACATATATCAGTGTGGCAGTCCCACAATACAGCCCAAACACAGCCAGGCAGGAGAAACAGCTTTCTGTTTCTGTTATTTGTGGGCACATGAAGCACCAAGAAGAGAATTCGTATGTAGAAGACCTGTTGGTATCAAGGAGGGAGATCATAGGATCTGAGCTAGGGTAAAGTTTCAGACCTGAATGTTTCAATATACTTGCCAGTTGAATAGTTAGAATTAGAATATTTCTATTGTTGTACTCGAGACCTCCCAAAGACCACCAGAGACCAAGATCAATGTAAGTGAAAAAAGAGTCATTTATTGCAAGCTTGAGATTGGTCCTCCTCGCACTCGGTAACCAGTGACGCTGAGAAGCCCCAAGCATAGAATCAGCACACTTTTTATAGCATTGAACAAACAACTTTAAGGAACTTTTACATGAGAAAGTATATGATTGGTTGACATTTAAAACAAGCTAAGCTGGGTAAACATGATTGGTTAACACTGCTATTGATGAGAATTGTCTGACTACTGGGTCACCGGGTCCTGTATGGCCACCCAGTGCTTGGTTGATGCATCTGGAGGAGATTCCTGTGGTTTTTCCAAGGATTGTTTATGTCCCTGGTTGCCCAAGAATTGTTTCTCCTTGTGTGCCATTCCCGGATCAGGCTCATGGTCAGTTCCATGACTCATACTTTACAAGATGGTTACTAGCTTAAAGATGGAGTCACTCAGGCATCAGGCTCTTCACTATATTGTTTCTTCTTAAATTCAAAACAGTGTTGTGGTTGTACAGTATCTTTTGGGGATATATACGTAATTTATAAGGTATTATTATGAAAAGGCATTATTTACTTTCTGCAAGTTGAGAGTGCAGAGATAGAAAACTCCAGCAGCTCTTGACTGGTGAGAGGAACGACACTGAGGAGACATGAAGAGCAGGTAGAGAGGGGAGAAAAGCTGGAGCTGTAACACAGAGGGATGGAACTGTTCATCATCTTGAGATCTTGTACAGATCTGTCCCCTAAATATGATATGGAGGCAAAGGAGCAGACAAGAAAAATGACAAAGGACAGACAAGGGGAAAAAAATAACAAAGCATAGAAGCATGGATTCGATCAGTGTTGCATACTAACTAAAGATCAGTGATGGAAGACTTGACTCCTTTATAACTTGGGCAGAGGCTGGCCATGGTCTCTTGCTGCTGGGTCAGTTACTGAAACCAGCCATTGAATCAGGGTCTTCAATGGCCAGATCACGTGGAACAAAACAAACCCTCAAGACTCAGAGTCATTTTGATGGGCGATGCCTGAAGAAATGGCAGTGCTAGAGACAAGCCTGAGAGGATTCATTAAAATCCACTCTCCAGGAGAAATGTTTTCTTAGGATCCCATGTCACCAGGGAGGATGAGACTGTAATAAGGTCCCAGGACAGAGACAGAAGCCCAACTGCCCCAGAGACAGTTAGTGTGACTCCTTGGAGCTCTGCCCATGTAGGTCTCCTAAATTCTCCCAGGCACACCTTCTATCATAGAGGTCAGATAAGAATACACAGACTCCAGACCCAGCCAGAACCCCTGCAGTGCTACGAGAAACTTTCTCTCTTGAAGACTGGGTGAGGACATTTCCAGAGAATCAGAGACTGTCTTACCTCACATCCTGCCTGGATTCACAGGTGATTAACTGCACACATCCCTTTCTACAGAGAAGACTGGTCATGGTGATGACTCCAGGAATCTTTGATTCCTGAAATGGCTGACTGCCATGAGCAACTTTACCCCACAGTCTCAGAAGAAACATCTCCTCTTTCCTCAGCATCTTCAGTCCTTTTTTGTCCCTAACTAATTCCAGGACACTGGATATGGGCATCAGGCTGTATGTTTCTTCTTTAGAGGTAAAGGGTGTGTCTTTATTTCTAGAAACTATGAGGAGGCCATGAATCTTGAATAACAAGACTAAGAATTACTGTTCTGCTGCCTAACTGTCTAGTTTCTCATACTTCATTCCTAACTCACTTCCATCTGTACCCTAAACGCTTTGACATATATATATATATATATATATATATATATATATATATACACACACATATATCACACATGAAGGAACATACTGAATATCCAGTACTACTGGTCAGGCTTAAGTTTTTAGATTTTCTCATACTGACTTTCTGGTATAAGTCTCAGTACTAGTTACATTCCAGTGGCTCTTGCCTGCAATCCAACCTTCTCAGGAGATTAAAACCAGGAGTCTCCTGATTCAGCCAGAGTAGAAAAGTCATGAGATCGATCTCCATAAACCAGGAAAATGAGAGGTAGAGGTATAGATGAACTGGTAGAATACTAGAAAGAGCAAGAAAGCAAGCAAGTAACTAGCCCCTCAATTCAAGCTTCCTTACTTTTCCTACATATGCATTTTCCTGGACTCAAAATAAACAGTATTTCAAAAGACAATTATCAAATAAAAGTGTATCAGTTCAAGTTCTTCTCTTCTACATACTTGCTCAATGCCAAAAAATATGTCAGAAAAACCAATTAAAATTGGGATGATCTTTTGAAATTGTAATCCTAACACTTGGGGGCTGAGTTCATAAGATCCATAGATCAAGACCAGCCTGAGTCTAAAACAATGAAATAATGTTTTTACTTCTATTTCATAGTATCACTTAAGCTTTCAAAATAAACAGGAGTGAATTTATAAAAAGCAGAATACCTGGATGTTTTCATATACTCCACATACTTTATGTCCTTTCCAATTTAAACCCTTCCAACAATACTATCATTTATATTCAGTGTATTCAGACTGAATCCTTCCTCATATCAGCAAGATTTCTGAGATGCAAAGGGAAGAATCAATGTTTCTGTTCAGGGTGTTGCTGTGAAGCTCAGGTAGTGGGAAGGCTTTTACCTTCCGACATTATCTGTATTATACACCTGACACCTTAAATACAGTCCCTTCACTAACAGAAATTGCTAATATGCCTCCAGAAAATGCATCCAATTCCTTCTCTTTGATTTCCACTGAGTAAATAATTATTACTAACTTAAAGAGGTAAAAAACTTTTGTGCAGTTGATCTCAATTTACTTTTAAGCTCAATTTAGCCTATAATTCATTTTTGCCCAGATTTACTTTTCCTCCAGCAAACCATGGGTAACCATCCAGGAGAGGAGTACATGTGAAGACTACCTGGGATCAAGTCATCCAGCAATTCCTGCGTGGAGAAAGCTGTGGAGGAAGCTCACCTTTGAAATGAGAAAGTAAAGGTAGACCTCAGGTCAAGGAAGAAAATGCAAGAATTTTTTATGAATATAATTTTTAAAAGGAGCAATAGTCCTAAGTACATTTTATACATGGAAACAATTAGATTTTATACCGATACCAAGTTGTTAATTTTTCACTATAAACTAAGGGATGCTTTTCTTTCATTATGAAGATATTTGCCCTGATGTATTCTATTGGATAATATATATTATTTATTTATTTAATGGTTATTAATAATCAACATATCTGTAGCCCATCTAACTCAAAGATTGTTATGATTCACTGAAATCATTGAGAAAAATCAGAAAGCACAGAGGTAACATAGGGAACTGAAAGATATTCTACAGGATTTCTGTTGGCTACCCCCGCTGGTCTGAGTCTACTCAAACATTGACTGAAATCCCTTAAAAAGACCTCCATTAGGTATCTGATTCTATGCACAGAATGGAGCTCTGGAATACCACCTTGGGAAGCAGCTTCATCTTGGTGGGCATTCTGAATGACAGCAGGTTTCCTGAACTGCTCTGTGCCACAATGACATTCCTGTACATGCTGGCCCTGACCAGTAATGGGCTCCTGGTCCTTGTCATCACAATGGACATGAGGCTCCATGTGCCCATGTACCTCCTGCTTAGACAGCTCTCTCTCATTGACCTTCTTCTCACATCAAGTATCGCCCCCAAGGCCATCACAGATTTCCTGCGTGGAGATAACACCATCTCCTTTGGAGGCTGTGCCCTTCAGATGTTGCTGGAGCTGATTATGGGTGGAGCAGAGGCTCTCCTTCTATCGTTTATGTCTTATGACAGGTATGTGGCTATTTGTCATCCTCTGAACTATATGATCTTCATGAGACCAATTGTCCTTTGGCTCATGGTGACAACAACATGGATCATTTCCTCTGTGAGTGGTCTAGGATATACTATGTACATTATGCATTTTCCCTTCTGCAAGGGCCGGGAGATTAAACATCTGTTGTGTGAGATCCCACCTGTGCTGAAGTTGGCCTGTGCAGACACCTCTAGATTTGAGCTCATGGTTTATACAATGGGTGTGATATTCCTGATCCCCCCACTTTCTGCCATTCTTGTCTCTTATGCACTAATTCTCTTCACTGTGCTCCACATGCCCTCCAAGGAGGGGAGGAAGAAAGCCCTTGTCACCTGCTCCTCCCATCTGACTGTGGTTGGACTATATTATGGATCTGGCATAGTCATGTATGTCCTGCCCAGTTCCTTCCATAGTCCCAAACAAGACAATATCGTCTCCTTTTTCTATACACTTGTGACCCCAGCCCTAAACCCCCTTCTCTACAGCCTGAGAAATAAGGAGGTCATGGGGGCCCTGAGGAGGGTCCTTGGAAAATACATCCTGCCTTCACACTCCAGTGTTTAGGACTTGATCTTTACTATTCGTCTTCTCATCAGATTGTTGCCTTCAGATATTTTTCCATAGTAAACTCAGTTGGAGAATTTCCATACATTTTTAAACTTCTTTCGCTTCTGTAGCTAGTATTCAAGTCATTTGCACATAACCTTGGTTTTGGAATCCTCCCCTTGAAAAGCCATTAGAAGAAGAAAAGTTTTGAATAGATATGTAAATCTCACTCTGGTGAGGGAGCAGCTAGTCACCTACCTTACTCATTAGGGAGGTAGAATATTAACTTTCCATTTCAAAATTACAAAACAAGGTGAAATATCAGTTGTTTGGCCTAAGCAAATACCAATATCATCTTGCTTTAAAAGGCTGTTTTCCAACTATTAGGTTCCTATATAATTTAATAAATGGAGGGATCTATATAAATAAATCTATATAGAGCTTCTCTGTATTAAGATAATTGGTATTGATTGAGAAAAATAATGGACTGTACTTGAATTATGCTTTGAGGAGAATTTCACGTTGATACCACAAAGACAAACTGCATTTACATAGAAAGTGCTAATGAAAGAGAATCTGAACATTTTCATTAGAGATTGTCAGAATCCTTTTAAAATATCTGTGATTAAAATAAAAAATGTAATTTGGGCACCAGTGCCTCATGTCTGTAATCCTATCTACTCAGAAGGCTGAGATATAAGGGTCACAATTTAAAGCCAGCCCAGGCAAAAATATACTCTTATCTCCAATGAACTACTCAAAAAAAGTTGGAAGTTTCACTGTGGCTCAATGGGTAGAGCACTAGCCTTGCGCATAAAGAGGCTCAGGGACAAGGCCCAGGCCCTGAGTTCAAGCCCCAGGACAGGCAATAATAATAACAATAGTAATATTAATAAATACATATACAGCTATATTTATAATGTAATTTAAAATATAAAATAGAATTGAACATATATTTCAACAGACAAGTAGATGTGAGAATAGTGAGAGTATCCTCTGTGGCTTTAGTTTTTTTAATGTGGTCTTGCTGATATACTAGTGTGTTTTTTAAAATAATTGCAAGGATCTCATAGTAGTATTGGTCTGGGAATATGTTTATATCTGTGTACAGAGGAAAGAAAGCATAGACTATATAATCTTCCCTTTGTCAACCCCAAATATGCTTTATTTTATACCACTAATAGACATAAGAAAGCATAAAAATAAGTGAGAACTTTGTGGGTGCAGAAGCTCCACATTACTGTGGCTTCTTGACAGCGATGCTTGGTAAAAACCCAGAAATTCTGTTTTTTTTCCTTAAGTCATCTTCAATGAATTTGTAAAACTAAGCGATAACAGTTAAAGCTCCTTAAACCATTAACCATTTAGAAAATTTGGTATCTAGAAGGAAGCAAAAATCATAAAGTTTCCTTTTGTGTTAGACTTTGCTTCATTTTTATTTGAATCGTAACATCTGATATTTAGTGACTCTTCTTGCTTAATATTATGTTATGATGTTTTAGAGTATTCATAGGGAGCAAAAGAATGATGGTCCCTGAGTTGTCATCTGTATATCCTCAGACACTGTATTCCATTCTCTTTGGACCTCGGTTTGCCCATCTGTTAAGTGCTGATAAACAGAAGCCTTATCTCATGATTCTAAGCGCAAGTTAGCAAATACAAGCATTTAGACCAAGTCTGGTAAATAGTGCTTAACATATGTTCTCTTTTTTATGTATAAATAGTAAAGAATCTTCAGATTGGCTCTTTTTAGAATTGACATCTCTATTTACTATGCTATTTATTCTCTGTGTACATTATGATGTTTTAATGTGTGTGTAATTATAGCACTGATAATTCAAGCTCATTGAGATGGCCTTGATTCTACATGTTTTGTAATAACAACAGTTAAAACTGTGTTCGGCAATTTTCAAGTATACAATATGCTGTTAATTTTATTAATATAATCATCACAATATACAATAGAACAGATGTGCAGAAAGAAGATTTTGTAGTATACTGTTCCTAATTACATCCCACTCCTTCATTTTTTAAATTGCTTTTCTTTTTCTGAATCTTGTACCAAAGGATTTTCACAAGCTACCACTAATACATAATAAGTAGTTTTCATGTAAAAATATTAAAAATTTAAAAGCTAAATAAGTTGGTAACCACTGGTCAAAAATCAACAATACATGAAATAGAAGAGATGGAAGAGAGAAAAAGGAGGAGGAAGGAAGAAAGATGACATGTAAAAGGACAGAAAAGAAAGCAAGAAGGGAAGGATGAAGGAAGGTAAGTAGCAATATGGAAGTATACACACTAATCACTTTTCAATTCCATAAAATCTAAAGATGAAACTAACACAAGTAAGCTCATAGACATATAGTAAAAAAAAAAAACAACTACCTAAGAAACAGGACAAACATGAGAATATAAACATATGGCAATGAATTCAGTCCCTTTATTCTTGCATTCATTTAGTAAATATCATTTGACTATGTTTATATATCACAAGCACATTTCTATTACCTAATGATACAGACAAAACATAAAGATATTTCATAATGTTAATGGGGGCCTATTTCTAACATGGCCTTAAATTTGACAATCCTTGAAATGAAAACAATCATATTTAAGTATTTTCAGTTCAAATAATCAAACCCAGATCCTGCACATGCTAGTCAAGTGCTCTACCACTGAGCCACATCCCTAGACCAAACAAGAGTTTTCTAATAGTATCTATATAGATAGGAAAATATTGAACTACAATATTTTTGTGTGTTTTTTTAAATGACACAAATGTATTGTGTCATTTTACTATTTATACATATAAGAGAGAACATATGTTAGGCACTATTTACCAGACTTGGTCTAAATGCTTGTATTTGCTAACACAAATTTATTCACAGTTCTAGTGGCCAGAAATGTGAAATCAGAAGTTACCAGGCTGAAACCCAAGTGTCCTGAGGGTGCTTACTCCCTGGGGAGGCTTTATCAGAGAGCCCCTTCCTGCTCCTCCTTGCTCCTGGTGTCAGCTTGCATTGCTCGACTTGAAGCCATGTTGCTCCAATCTCTACTCCGGTGATGTCAAATCTTCTGCCTTTCTCTTTTTTTTT